CCCCGGAGCGCTGATTTAGCGATCCGCACTCCGGGGGCAACTTGGCTATTAGATATATAGATGGTGGGGGGGAGGGATGGAAAGTAAAAACAGTCCCTGGGGGCCTGTAATGCTGGCTCCTGGTCTTCCTGGAAAATCCTAAATATATCCAGGATTCTCTTGGGGTTGGGTTTTTTTTCTCCCCCAGTTTTTAAAAAAAGCCCAGATATTTTGGGGATGCCGAAGTATGCTCAACAGATATTGATAAGGTGGGGGGGGGGTATTTTTTGCTCAAGTATATCTGAATGCACACCCCTAAGTATTTTCCCCCACCACCCCCAAGCACTATATGCCTGTTAGTTGCAATTCTCTGTTCAAACATTATTGGGAAATCCTGCCTTAAAACCGGGAGGAGGAGAGGTCCATCAGCGGCTGCTAGCTGTGGGGACTAAAGGAATCCTCCGTGTTCAGAGTTAATAAAATTCTGAATACCTGTGCCAGGAGGCAATGTCAGAAGACGGCCTCGGCCTCTGTGCCCTGTTGTTGGACCTCCAGAAGGAACTGGTCAGGCACTGTGCAAGACAGGATGCTGGACTAGAGGGACCACTGGTCTGATCCAGCAAGGCTCTTCTCATGACACTATTTATTTATTTATTTATTTAGGCATTTTTTTGCCGTGCCCTCCCCGCTAGCGGGCTCAGGGCGGCTTACAAGGGGCATGAGCCCATACATTTAAAAAAACTATGTAACCGAGTCTACAAACCTGCACAATGTAACTGAGTCTATAAAAGCAAAGTGAGACCCAAAAGCAGTAGATGAGAACTTAATAAAAAGGAAATGGGGAATGTTTACTCATTCCTGTTCTGGGCTTATTGATTCCTTAGACTTCTATCTCGCTCTCCCCACATTGTAGGCTCAGGGGCAGGTACCAACCAGTGTTCCCTCTAAGCTGAGTTGGTGTGAGCTAGCTCACAGTTTTTTAGCCTCCAGCTCACATGTTTTTGACTTAGCTCAGGAAGAATGGCTCCGGAGCAAACTAATTTATGCAGTAGCCACATCACTCACAATTTTAATGCCAGTAGCTCACCAAGGAGCCTTTTTTGCTCACAAGGCACCACGGCTTAGAGGGAACATTGCAAGTGTACCAACATGTATGTATCCACAATTAGTGCGCAGTTTTACAATTTAAAACAATAACAATCATCAGTTAAAAACCATAAAATCATCGACCTTAATTCAGTAAGATCACTGGCATTTAAAACAACAGTGCGCCTCAACGGCCGATCGTGTGTTCCCAGTCTGGCTTTCGGGATCCGCAGTCACTGGGAGGGGGAGGCTGAGTCACAGACGGACGCCTGGTGCCTCAACTAAAGGCCTGGCGGAAGAGCTCCGTCTTGCAGGCCCGGCAGAACTGTAATGGGTCCCGCAGGGCCCTGATCTCATAACGTAGCTCATTCCACCAGCCAGGGGCAGGGCCAAAGGTAAACCCTGTCTAATTAATCCTGGAGACATAGGACAGGTGGTCTGGATAGAGATGTGAAGGCGTGGAAAAATTGGGGGGGGAAACGGGGTTTTCCCGTTTTTTTCCTGAAGCCTTTTTTGTTTTTTTACCGAAAAAATGGAAAAAGAAAAGGGGGGAAAATTGATTATGGAACGTTTTATTTTAACACGATGAATAAAATATTTTAAGTCCAGGTGTTCAAATATCTTCCAAATCATTTCTAAAAAATACGTATGGTATCAGATTGATCTCATTTCTGTGCACTGAGGACAAGCAAGTCCTAGGTTAGCAACTGAACTCTCCAATGCAAGAACAAGATGCATTTCTTCCTTTTGGAAGTGTTACTGTCACAAGAAAAGAAAAAGGTTTCAGGTTTTGTTTTTGCATGTGGGTGGGTATTCTGTTTGTAATAATTGTTTGGATACACTATATTTTTAATATGCTAGTTGTGATAATTTCATGCCAAGTAAAAATGTCCATAGTCATATTTTATGTTCCTAAAGTAACAAAATGACTTGCAATCTGGAAAAGAAAAAGGAAGTGGTAATGTAGATTTTTTTTCAATTTTTCCAAAAAATTCCATTTTTACATCTCTAGGTCTGGATAAATCCCCCTTTTTAGGTTATGCCTTCAGAAGCAAGCACCTCGAAGTATCCTAAATACACTCAACCTATTTTCATGTTTATGGGGCGGCAGAAGGGGGAGGCGAGAGAGAACACTTCCATCCCCCACTGCGATCTTTGCTGTCCTCCCGTCACCGGTCGGTTTCTCACATCCTTCTCTCTTTGCTCCCACAGAACAACCCCAGACGTCCTTACTATTGACTCGGCGCTGCCCGTCCTCTTCCTCCTCCTCCTCCAAGCGGTGGTTTGTTTGTACTGTGAGATGTTAACAAAAGTTGATATTCTCCTCCTCCTCCCCCCACACCCCTTTTCTTTCCTGTTGGAAAACGTTCTGTTGTAATATTATTCCCCGAGCCCCGTCTTGCCTCCCAGCCAAGAGTGTCTGGCTTGTTTTTAGCGGGGAAGGGGGAGGTTGCAGGGTTTCTTTAACGGATCCCGAGGTCGAGAAGGGGGCGCAGCCCAAACCCTCAGCCTGGATGCAGTGAAATCCAGAGAAAGAGGAAAGGGACTTGTGCCCAGCCCCCAAACGGTTCCAGGTCCTGAGCGGGGATGTTCCGGTGGGCCGAGCAGAAGACGTTCTTCGGCCTTGACGGGCAGGTGTCCCCCTGCGGATCCCAGGAGCCTGTGCATTAATGGGGGGGGAGGGTCTTGTCGCTCTGCCCTGTGCCCACCAGCAAAGGTGCCCCAGCGCGACACAGGACTCGGGGTGGTGGGGAGATCTTGAGCGGGGAAGAGGCCGTGGGAGCCTCGCTCTCTCCCCCCACAAATGCTTGAACGTCAGGTCCCTCCCTCCCTTTCAGTCCTAAAAATCCCACAGGGCCAGGTGGCAGGGAGACAGCACCAGAGTCTCCCAGGCTCCTTTGAGGTGCTGAGTTTTCTTTAGTGAGGAAAGAGATCCTTTGGGGGGGATGGGGAAGTGCCAAGGGGTTGTCGACCCGACCGCGTCCCGCATCGGAGGAGGCCGGTTTCCCGTTCTGGAAAGAAGAGAAAGAAAGTTCAGTCCGGCAATCGGAAACAAACACCAAGGATCCCTTCGCTGAGTCCTGGCGTCTGTCCTGTTTCGCCCCAAGGTGTCGGGTTCAGTGCAAGGGTGCTTCCCTTCCCAAGCGCCACCAGAGACCCCTGAAACTTCCTCTCCCCCACCCCACCTCTCTCAGCAGCGAGACCCCGGTCTTTTGGTTTGTATCTTGCCCCCCCCTTCTCTCCCCCAGAGTACAACGCAAATTGTGCCACTTTTAGTATTTTTATTTTCAGATCAGTTGTTTTTCTTTGTTTAATCTTGCAGAGCTGTAGAGTTGACACTTTTTGGCTTTTGACAAACGAATAAAGCTGCAAAACGATGTCACGTCGGGGGGGTCGTGTCTGTGTTTTGTGTAAGAGGCAGGACTTGAGAAGCACCTGTGATGCTGCCGTCATGGGTCAGGCTGGACTCGTCCCTTCTGACTGGCAGCCAGCTCTTCTGGCAGAAAAAAAAAGACGAGGAGAAGAGATTGGATTTCTACCCCGCCCTTCACTACCCAAAGGAGTCTCGGAGCAGTTTACAATCTCCATTCCCTTCCCCTCTCCACAAAAGCTGCCCTCCGAGGTAGGTGGGGCTGAGAGAGCTCTCTCAAGGACTGCTCCTGAGAGAACAGCTCTGAGAGAACTTGTGACTGACCCAAGGTCACCCCAGCAGCTGCATGTGGAGGAGTGGGGAATCAAACCTGGTTCTCCCAGATTAGAGTCCACGCTCCTAACCACTACACCAAAATGGCTCCCATGATATGCAAGATCCTTTCTCTGGGGGCGCCGAAAACAGAACCTGGGCCCCTTCCGCATGCAAAGTAGCCACTCGGCCACTGAGCCTCGGCCCCCAAAGCAACTGGAGCTGAACTGGTTCCTTGGCCCCATTCCCCGTACTGATTGTCTCTTCTAGACGGCAGCTTTCCCCAATACTGGGTGATGCCAGTTTGAAACCGGGACCTTTTTGTGTGCAAAGCAGAGGCCCAGGTACCAGTTGTTGTCGGGGGAGAAAAGGGGAGGGTTTGTGATGCCGGGGGATCAGGGCCGGCCTGCTCACTAGGCGAGCTAGTCTCTCGCCTAGAGCGCAGGGCCATCATGGGGGCACCAGACTGAGCCACCCAAAGGCCCTGCTGCCACCGCCTGCCAGAGCTGCCCCTGCCACCCCGGTGTGAGTGACCAGGCACCCGGAGAGGAGGGAAGCGCTCCACAGTCTGCCCCCCGCCAACAGCTCGGCTCTGAGGGCCCTGCCGCAGAGGAGCAGCTGCCCTTCGGAGCCCTCCACAGCCCCCTCCACGGGCCAGCCGCTTCACCCCGCTGCCCGCAGGTCCAGGAAACTGCTGCAGACGCCACCGCCGCCTCCCTGCCCGGCTGGGGCTGAGCTGCACAGCCTTCCCTTCCCTCTGACCCGCACGGCCTTCCCTTCCCCCTTCCAGCCTTTCCCTTCCCCCTGACCCGCATGGCCGGTGCTGAGCCATGGCCAGCGGAGCCCGCACCCCCGGGAGCCCTCGGTCTGCTGCTTCCGGCTGCCCCCCGCAGCAGCGCTGCTCAGCGCTCCTGCTCCCACCTTGCTGCCACCGAGGAGGAGGATCCCTTTGTTAGGGGCAGCAGCCAGCCGACCCAAGCCCCGGAGGAGCCGCCAAGGGTGGGGAGTGAGCCGGGACTGGGAAGCGCCAGCATGGGGACCTCTCCTCCACTGCCAAGCTGGCTCACGCGGGGCCCGTTGGCTGGGTGCAGGGAGGGACCTCTCCAAGTCTCGAGCAAGTAGGAAGGGGGGTGCGCATGCATGGGGACCTCTCGCCGCGCACCCAGGCAGGTATCCAGGCACCGCCGGGAGGTTGGTATCTGCACCCGCCTAGGGCGCAGGAACACCTCGGGCCGGCCCTGGGGGGTGGGGTGTCCTTATTTGCAGGCCTTGCCATTTTCTTTGCATCTGAGAGCGGTCTTGGAAACATAAGAGCCCGACTCAGTCTTTCGGGTTTCAGAGATTTGGATCACAGTGACCAGATTTTCAGGTTTCCTTGCCACTTGAAACCCAGCACTAACTTCTTCCATGGCTCTGTATAGTTCTGTTATAAAGTGCATGTAAATGAAGCCGGGGAATAATCCTTTAGGGCAGGGGTGTCGAACTCATTGGTTACGAGGGCCGGACCTGACATAAATGAGACCTTGTTGGGCCGAGCCGTGTGTGTCATGAAATGTAATGCCAGGTAGCGGAGATATAAACTTGATAAAGGACACAAACATAAAGGGTGCAGTCAGACAGCATGCTGGGAGCAGTTTAAATTGCTCCGGCCCTGATGTGGTCTTTTTTAACCTGGAGAATCGTGATTACACTCACCTCCTTGCTCCGGATTGCTGCGCTGTTTTTTTTCTCTCTCTCTCTCTCTCTGTTTGGACATGCGCACAGGCAGCATCTGTGGAACTAAAAGTTTTGCACATGCGCAGAACAGCGATTTGCACTTCAACCCGGCTGCTGTAACGCATCCCTTTAAACTTTAAAGGAACACTTCCCTTTAAACGTTTGCGGCTGAAAATGGCCTCCTTGAGATCCTGAACTCATCTAAAGGCTAAAACTAGGCACCATTTAAACATTGTTTTTAATAACCCTGTGGCGGACCGCCGCCTATGTGCACACTGCCAATGCTGTTTTTAAAATGGCTGGCGAAAAGCGGAAGTCTTGGGCAGCTTTTGAGCGGGGAGGGGGTTTAAATCGGAAGTGGGTCGCACCGGAGGAGCGATGACATAGGGAAAATGCGACTGGAACTAGATAATCAGGAAAACACCACTTTGGAACCTTGTATCAAAATACTCCAGGTTAAACTAGTTTTGAGCCGGAAAGCGACGGCTGGGGATGAGAGGCAGATGTTGACCGTGTGATCGTGCAGATAAATTCCATTTCTGAGGCAGGCCGAACGCGGACTAGACGGCCTGTATGACCGCACCCAAAGGGGGTTTTTTTAACTTAAAATAAAAACATTCTTAAAACATTAGCACTGTAAGCTGCAAACCTACTTTTGATTGATTGACATTCACCACAGAAATCTCACGCTCAGAGTTCTGAGTCTAGGACCCAGGTTAAAACATGAAATGGCTGAGAGATGAAGAGAGTCTAGCGAAGCAAGCTATGATGCAGCAACAGCAGCAGCAGCAGAACTGGAAGCAGGAGATGGCCAGTTCCACTGCGGGCCTGATGGAAGCCCTCCGGGGACCTGATCCGGCCCCTGGGCCACATTTTTCCCATCCAAATACTAACAAGGGCCGCCCAGGCAAACCCAGTCTCGTCAGATCTCGGAAACGAAGGAGGGTCGACCCTGACAAGTAACCGGGAGACCTCCAAGGAATACCAGGGCTCTGGATGCAGAGGCAGGCAATCGATCCACCCACGGGTCATTCCGTAGAAAAAGAGGTGCAGGTGCTCATTAGCATAACTCATTCGCATAACTTATTTGCATGTGCCACACCTCCTGACATCACCGGAAGTCTGTCAGAAGGCGACACCCACCGCTCAGGCTCCACTGGACTCTTGGATTGCTAGCTATTGGGGGGGGGACGTGCTGATCTTGCAGAGGAGGGAGAGCTTGTGCCTGAATAAAACTTGGTCTTAAAGGTGCCACTGGACTGTTTTGGATTGCTAGCTATTGGGGGGGGGGACGTGCAGGTCTGCCCTCACAGAGGAGGGAGAGCTTGTACCTGAATAAAGCTTGGTCTTAAAGGTGCCACTGGACTGTTTTGGACCGGGGGGGGGGGGCTCTGCAACTTACCTGGCTGCTTCTTGCTCTGACTGAGGGGCTGCGTTGGGAGCAGGGGGTGGGGCTCGTTGCATGTGCCCGCCCCCTGGGCTCTTTACTGCTGGAGCTCTGCTCCTGTGCGCTCCTGCAGGAAATGACCCCTGGATCCACCACGAATTCCAAGCATTCAAGCAAACGCAGAAACCCACAAAAGGACCAAAACCGAATGCTAACCTGTGCCAACCCTGCTTAGCTTCTGAGACGGGGCGATTCAGGTCAGGGCGAGTTCATTTTAATGCATCACAAATTGTCCTCTGTAGGTTTCTCTCAGCCACGAGGCAATTTCTACACTAGCAAATAGGCTTCCCGGACAGGCTAACTGTAGAGGCCACTGGTCACAGCCCTGCTGCTATTCTTGGAAAGTCTCCAGGGGAGGTGGGGTACAGCCCCCACAGCGTGCAAGACTGCTCTGTACCACATATTCGTCCCGTCCCCCCGGAACAAATTCCATTTTGAGAAGCGAAGGCACTGGGGAGAGAGCCAGTTTGATGTCATGGTTAAGTGCGCAGACTCTAATCTGGGAGAGCCGGGTTTGATTCCCCACTCCTTCACTTGCACCTGGCTGGATGACCTTGGGCAAGCCGTAGCTCTGATAAGAGCTGTCCTTGAGAAAGAGCAGATTCTGTCAAGAGCTCTCTCAGCCCCACCTACCTCACAGGGTGTCTGTTGTGGGGAGGGGGAGGGAAAGGAGTCTGTAAGCTGCTCTAAGACACTTTTGGGTAGTGAAAGGCGGGGTATAAATCCAATCTCCTCCTCCTCCTCCTCTTATTCCTCTTCTTCTTATTCTTTCGTGACAACCTGTTCCTGCCATCCCTGGTAACAGACACACGTTTTCTTGGCTTCTAACTCCATTCTGGCTTCTTCGGTACAGCACAGTGGTGGTGGTGGGGAGGCCCAGGAGTGGTTTGTTCTGTGCACAGATGGCTCTCAAGGGAGCCGCCTCTTCTCTTCTCTCCCCCCCCCCCCATCCCACAATGAACCATTCGCTTATCTCTGGCCAAAGGTCTTGCCAGCCAGAGCTGGGCACGTGGACTGTTGTACTCAGGCTCAACAGAGGAAGGGCCCGGTGAGAGCAAGTGACCCCAAACTCAGGTTCTCACAGCAGGCAACCAATGCGCCCTCTAAGCTGTGGAGCCTTGTGAGCAAACATTCTCCTTTGTGAGCTACTGGCATGAAAGTGGTGAGCGAGCCATTTGGCGGCTGCCTCAATCAGTTTGGTCCAGAGCCCTCCTTCCTGAGCCAAGGCAGAAATGTGTGTAAAGGTAAAGGTTCCCTTGCTCGAAAGCCAGTCGAGTCTGACTAGGGTTGCAGTGCTCATCTCCATTTCCAAGCCGAAGAGCCAGCGCTGTCTAAAGACGTTTCCATGGTCATGTGGCCGGCATGACTAAACACCAAGGTGCACAGAACGCTGTCCCCTTCCCACCAAAGTGGTACCTATTTATCTACTTGCCATTTCTTGCTTTCGAACGGCTAGGTTGGCAGGAGCTGGAATTAGAGACGGGAGCTCACTCCGTCATGCGGCACACCCGGGTCTCGGACTGCTGAACTACTGACCTTCCACAGCCTGCAGTTCAGCGTCTTAACCACTTGAGCCACCGCAGCTCCATGTTGTAGGGCACCCCTTTCCAGTGTTCCCTCTCAGCTGTGAGCATGAGCGGCCGCTCATTAACACCGGAAGCCCCGCTCAGCAGCAGCCTGGAGCCACGCAGGGTCTTGCACTGGCCAATGCCCATTTCAAGATTACAGCAGTTAGATTCTGCTCAGGGTGTGAACTTTTCCGCTCAGGAGGGTGGGGGAAATTAGAGGGAACATTGCCCCAATCCCCAGAGAAGAGACCAAAGCCTTCCCGGTTTACTGTCCCAATCAGCACTTGAAACTGAAGCTCAAATCCTTTGGCCACCCAATGAGAAGGGAGCACTCACTGGAGAAGACCCTGATGCTGGGAAAGGCTGAAGGTTGAAGAAGACGGGGACGGCAAAGGATGAGATGGTTGGACAGTGTCATCGATGCAACGAAGATGAAGTTGAGCAAACTTCAGAGGACGGCGGAAGACCGGAAGGCCTGGCGTGATCTGGTCCATGGGGTCGCGGAGAGTCGGACTCGACTGTGCGACTGAACAACAACAAAGGCTGCCCTTGAACTAGGAAGTTCCATTTGACTATCCTAAGTAACACTCGATAGACTGCAGTTAGCTCATCCCACATCCCCATCTCGATGGCTGCCTGCGACCGTAGATTCCACGTATGAATTATGCATTCGAATGGCGACCTTGCGATCTATGAACGGAGTCAGGAGGATTTCATTCACAGTTTCATGCTCAAACGAACTTGAACTACAATGTTGGTGGTGGTGTGTGTTTGTTTTCAAATGCTTCTGTGTGGCAAGAAAGGGATGGGGAATTAGCGTCAGCTGCTGACTCCCTGCCAGGAACTACGGAGCGAATCTTCAAAGCTGGGACTCTATAAGAATCTGTGGGATTTTTATGTGGTTCATCATCCCATTAAAAGCGTGTTCACTGATGAATTGCCTGTCTTTTTTTCCTTGTTCTGCCGCCTCCGGTCTTAATAAACGTACATAAAGGTGCCAATCTGCGATGAGTAAGGGGGGAGAATGATGGAACCGGCATTACGCCGTTCCCCGCTGCGATTGTTCTGAACCGAGAGGGGCTCTACAAGGCGCTTGCGAAGAACGGATGTGTTCAAACACCCCTGTGCATGCGTGGGAAATCGAGGGCAGAACATCGCTCTGCGCAATATGTAAAGAACAGCGAGATGGGCTTCTGTGTCTTAGTGCGAGGGTTGCCATCCTCCAGGTGGGGCCTGGAGACAGGGTTGCCAGCTCCAGGTTGGGAAATTCCTGGAGATTTGGGGGGTGGAGCCTGTGGAGGGGAGGGACTTTGGTGCAGTATAATCCCATAGAGTCCGACTCCCAAAGCAGCCATTTCCCAAAGAGAGCCAGTTTGATGTAGTGGTTAAGTGCGCGGACTCTAATCTGGGAGAACCGGGTTTGATTCCCCACTCCTCCACTTGCACCTGCTGATGTGACCTTGGGTTAGTCACAAACTCTGGCACAGCTGTCCTTGAAAAAGAGCCATTTGTGTCAGAGTTCTCTCAGCCCCACCCACCTCACAGGGTGTCTGTTGTGGGGAGGGGAAGGGAAAGGAGTCTAAGCCGCTCTGAGACTACAAGTGAAGGGCGGGGTATAAATCCAATCTCCTCCTCCTCCTCTTCTTCTTCTCCAGGGGGAGGGATCTCTAACCTGGGGACCAGTCATAATTCAGGGAGCCCTCCAGCCACCACCTGACAACATCACATAAGGCTTCAAATATATCTCAAACATACAATAGTATTCAATATGTGGAATACAAAAGGTAGGCTGGAGATTTAAAGCAATCTTTAACATTTACTCTCTGTCGCTCCCGAAAGCAAATTTCACAATTTCAACGGACTGGAAAACATGACTTTCAAAGGTCCATAAAGCAAAGCCAGTTTGGTGTGGTGGATAAGTGCGTGGACTCTAATCTGGGAGAACCGGGTTTGATTCCCCACTCCGCATGCAGCTGCTGGTGTGACCTTGGGTCAGTCACAAGTTGTGTCAGAGCTGTTCTCTCAAGGGCTGTTTCTGTCAGAGCTCTCTCAGTCCCACCTACCTCACAGGGTGTCTGTCCTGGGGAGGGGAAGGGAAAGGAGTTTGTCAGCCGCTCCGAGACTCCTTTGGGTAGTGAATGGCAGGGTATAAATCCAATCTCTTCTTCTTCAAATACATCCACCTGGAGACTGGCAACGACCTGGAGATCTGGAATTACAACATCTCCAGATGACAAAGACAACTACAGCTTTGGAGGGGGAACTCTATGGAATTAGACCTAGCCAGGGCTATTTTTGGGCAGGAACCACAGGAATGGAGTTCTGGCTGGCTCCTGAGTTGGCCACGCCCAGCAGGAACTGATTAGCATAATAGGCCACACCCAACAGCAGAAACTCATTAGGATTGGCTACAATTAGGGGTGTGTGGCCTAACATGCAAAGGAGTTCCTGCTACCAAAAAAGGCCCTGGGTTTTGACCACAAACAAGGTAAACAGAATAAGAAGCAAAAGGTAGGTGTGGCTGGATGACCACACTTCTGGTAACAGGGGGATGTGGCCTAATATGCTAATGAGCTGTGCTGTCATGGGTGTGGCCTGATATACTAATGAGCTCCTGTGGTTGGGTGTGGCCTATTATGCTAATGAGTTCCTGCTGGGCTTTTTCTACAAAAAAAAAGCCCTGGACCTAGCCAAGGTCCCCACCCTCCTCAACCCCCAGCCTCCCCCACCCCCGAATGTCCTGAAATCTCCCGACCTGGAGTTGGCAGCCTTCCTGATTGCTCATGTGGGGGGGAACACTCGATTTCAAGTGCTCTTACGAGGGGCTTCTGAACCCAAAGATGACCCTCCAGGAAGGCGGGTTTGGCAACGGGGCGGTTTCTTTCCAATGCCGCATCATCTTAAATTTGGGGAGACCCCCGATGAAGGTAGGCTTGTCCCGGAATGGAAGCCAGAAGAATTAGGATTATTCCCACCCACCCCAAAAAAGGGTGTCCAAAGTCACTGGAGCCCGGCCAGGAAGGCGCGTAGCCCTTTAAAGAGGTGTGCCACGTTCCTGTTTTCCCCGGGCTCGATTGTGTAAGGGGATCGCCTCCGACGGCGACCTTTGGATAGGCAGCTCGCTCTTTCGTTCTTTCTTTGGAGAGCTCCGAGGGAGCCATCGAGGTTGGAGGGGGCGCGCTCGCTTCCTGCCTCCGCCGACTCACGCCCACCCACCCCCTCCCGTCACCCACCATGCGGCTCGCCCCAGTCTGGGCTGCCGTCGCCCTCTCGATCTCCGCCTTCCCAGTCTCCTACACGCTGAACAGGCTGTCGGCTCTGGAACAGTGAGTATCGTGGGAACACGTGGGGACGCGTGTCTTCTCGGGGTTTCCCCGCCTCTTGTATTTTTTAAATATACACACACACACACACACACACATATATATATATATACTCCTTTTGCAAGCCTGCCTTTGCCCCGGAGCAATCGAGTAGCAGAAAGTTTTGCTTTGCGAGGTCCCTGTTTTCACGACAGAAAACAGGGATCTCGCAAAGCAAAAACTTTCTGCCACCCAATTGCTCCGGGGCAAAGGCAGGCTTGCAAAAGAAGTCGAGGTGGGCGTGGCCGGGTTGGGGGGGAGGGGTGGCCACTAGTGTTCCCTCTAAGCTGTGGAGTCTTGTGAGCAAAAATTCTACTTTGTAAGCTATGGGCATGAAAGTTGTGAGCCAGCAATTTGGCTACTGCATAAATTAGTTTGCTCTGGAGCCATCTTTCCTGAGCCAAGACAAAAATGTGTGAGCAAGAGGCTAAAAAACTGTGAGCTAGCTCACACTAACTCAGCTTAGAGGGAACACTGGTGGCCACCAGTGTTCCCTCTCAACCGAGTTCGTGT